TTTGAAGTATTATATATTATTCAATAAAAATATCAAATGAAAGTTTTCGAAACTTGATCCTTACATATTGCCTATTGGTCTTATTAAATAATTTTTTGTAGTCACTTACTTTCAATTTTAAAATTATAAAATTCAAATTTTAAATTTAAAACTTTAAACTTTAAAGTTTAATTTTAAGCCTTAAAAGTTTGCAAATACTTAATAATCAATAACATTGAATAAGAAAAACAAAATTTACTTTAAAAATAAAAAATAAAAAATGCACGGCCCGCTAACAGCCCTCTAAGCGCGAATCCGGACGAACAAAAAAAATCTGAAAAAGTACAGCCCACTAACAGTCCGCAACGTTAAACGGACGGGCTGATTTTTTTTGTGTCCAGCCCGTCCCAGCCCGCCCGTTAAACACCCATAATTTTACCTGACAATATTTTTCTTCTATCTCCCTCATATCCCACTATGTCTAAATTATGGGCTAATATCTATTTTCATGATCAGTTAGCAGCAAACTTTCATAACGCGCAAGAATAAATCAACCAAAAATTAAGTAGAGATGGAGAAGTACATGATTTATTACTGGACTGAATACAAATAACACATTCTTGTTTGCCACAAATGTAAGGTTGATGATATAGAAGAATATACATAGAAACCAAATGGAAAGAAAACTTGCAATACTCAAACCAAATTTTTCTTGAGTTGTTGCCTTCAATTCCATTGATATCTTCCTCACATTTCGAATCGGAAAAATAGCATGATGAGATATCGAGTCCCCATTCCACATCCTAAAGTGATTCAAATCAGGCAACAAAACCTGACATAATAAGCCCTCAAAATACTAAAGAAATTAAAAATAAGTCGAAACTCACCACAAATTGAAGGCCATCATGAAAGTCTGTTATAACAAAGAACATGAACCAGTGCTATTTTCTATACATGCTTAGATATCATATGCATATAAAAAGTTTTAATAGACTTGTATTTGAAATCCTTAAGAAGAGAAACATAGATGGAAAATTCAAGCACAAAATACACCTTCTAAAACACGGTTGACTCCATGATAATAGGGCAATCGTATTACAAACCATGGGTTAAGGAATAGTGGCTTTGAGCTTGAGACCATTTCTGTTGAATATTGAATCAATACATTCTAACAGAAGGCAGAAGGAGAAAACTTTGCAAATTTAGAGAGAGAGAGAGAAGAAAGAAAGTGCTCATCGTTGTTATTGAGAGTCTTAAATTATTGTGTAGTTGTACAGATTTGTGTTGAGTCAGCATGTAACTATACACTATTAGTTGTAGTAGTTATACAGTAGTTATACAATTAGTCTAGTTGTATTAGCTGTCATACGTGTACATGTACATATATACACATTTTGCAATAATGTTGAGATAAGCAGAATATCATTTCACATTCTATTCTTTACTCTCTCTCTCTCTCTGCTCTCTTAGAACTCTCGAGAACCTCCATTGGAGGTCTTGCATGAGCTTGATTTTTCCAGTTTCGAGCTAATCTAAATATGGTATCAGAGCCCGGTTGAACGTATCTACTCGAATTCTACCGGAATTCCTCTTTTAGTATCTCAAAATCTCTTTTTCCCTTTCGTATACTAGGGTTTTTAGATTCCTCGATTAATACTGCAATTTTCATACGGATCAAAGATTTTCAGTGAAATCGATCTATCTACTCACAAAGTCGGTTGATATATTGGTTAATTTCAACGATTAGAGCTTCTCAAATGGCCATCAATCAAAGCGAAGAAACAACGCCCAATACGACCAAAAATGACCAGCCGACCATCGATGCGAGCAGTCCTCTGTACATTCATCCTTCGGACAGTCCTAGAGTAATGCTAGTGCCAGTTCCATTCTATGGAATTGGATATAGGTCTTGGAGAAGAAATGTGTTACGAGCTCTATCGGTCAAAAATAAATAAGGGTTCATAAATGGGGAATGTAGGAAACTTAGCCTTAATTCACCTCAATTTTGCCAATGGGAGAGATGTGACGATATGGTGACCTCCTGGATTCTCAATTCCCTCGGAAAAGAGACCTATGACAGTGTTGAGTATGTTAATGACTCAGTCGAGCTATGGAGGAAGCTGGAAGATCGATATGATCAAACAAATGGAGCAAAATTTTATCAAATCCAAAAGGAGATCAACGATCTTGTTCAGGGCTGATTAGACATCACTGCCTACTATACACGAATGAAGAGACTGTGGAAAGAATTAAACACACCGAGTGCTAAGTCTCAGTGCAACTGTGTTTGCACGTGTGGATAAAAGGAAACGATGCATAAAGCAGAACAAGATCGACGACTCGTTTAATTTTTGATGGGCTTAAATGAGGTCTATATAATAGTGCGAGGAAGCATTTTGATGATGAAACCTCTACCGTCTTTGGCACAGACTTTCTCCTACCTAATACAGGAAGAGAAACAAAGGAAATTCAAGCCAAGTAATCAATTAAATCTTGAGTCTACTTCACTATATGTGAATGCCACATCTACACAACATCAAAATCCATTCGGAGCTAGGAACTTCAAAACACACCACACTGCAAACAACAAAGGTCGCCCATTCTGTGACTATTGCAAGAAACCGGGTCACACAAAGGAGAAATGTTACAAGTTACATGGGTATCCCCAAGGCAATTCATACAACAATCAGAATTTTAATCGGGCCAATGCTCAACAGTTAAATCAGAATAACAGCTCAAATCAGACTCAGGGTCACAAGTTCAACAGAGGAAAAAGAGTTGTGGCAAACGTACATGGAGTTCCAGCTGATTTACTTCATGAGAAGGAAGATGATTCAGTTGCACATGTGAGAATCAAAATGTCAATCTAACAAGAGAGCAGTATGGGCAGATAATGAGTCTGCTGCAGCACTTTCAGACAGGCAACACAGGAGGACCCTCCAGCAATTCCAACATTACTAATGTTGCTGTCAATTTCGCAGGTATTATAGTCTGCACCTCTTCTATTGATTTTGACAAACCATCATGCAAATGATTTGAATCAAAGTCTGACCTTTGGATCATAGAATCAGGAGCATCTAACCATATGACTTTTAATAAGACAACACTTAGCAATATCACCACTCTACCATATCCTTTATTGATTAGCCTACCAAATAGATATGGGGTGAAAGTACTTGAATTTGGAAATGCGATACTCAGTCCTGAAATCATCCTACACAAAGTCCTCTATGTTCCTTCTTTCAAATACAATCTAATCTATGTCCACTCTCTTGCAATGCATATTAAATGTATTGTGCTCTTTATTAATGCACTGTGTCTATTAGAGGCCCCTTCAGTGAAGAGGCCTCAGGTGATTGGTAGTAGCAGGGAGGGACTATACTATCTGTGTTCCAGGTGTCTAAAGGGTAAAAGCACTTTCTCAAATTCTGATGTATCAGGTTCTTGTTGCAACTGTTTTTCCTCTACTAGTGTAAATAGTGAAGGCTTCAGAAGTCCTAGTCATTCATATCATCATTCATCAAATGTAAATATATCCGCTCACAATAATAAGAATGACACCTCAGTTGTGTTTGATAAGTATGATGTGAATCTCTTGTGGCACAATAGGCTTGGTCATGTTTCCTTTGTCAAAATGAGAGGAATGTCCTCCATACCTGTACTTTTCTCACCCAGACAACCATTTATCTGTTCAATTTGCCATATGGCTAGACAAGCCAGACTTCCATTCCCACAAAGAACCAGTACCTCTACCCAAATATTTGAGTTGATACATATTAACATATGGGGTCCCTACCATGTCAATACTCATGACAATTACAAGTATTTTCTCACACTAGTAGATAATTTCAGTAGATCCACTTGGACACATTTATTAAGTTGTAAGAGCAATGCTCTTCAAACCCTCAAGGCCTTTACAACCATAATTGAAAATCAATTTAACACCTCTGTTAAGACCATCAGATCTGATAATGGGCTGGAGTTTACCAGTCATGAAACTACCACATTCTACCAATCCAAAGGCATCATTCATCAGAAAACTTGCCCCTACACACCACAACAAAATGGGGTAGTGGAAAGAAAATATAAGTATCTCCTAGAAACTGCCAGGGCACTTAAAATTTTAGATTTTTTTCTGATAAGGTGTTTGTTAGTAATATACTTTGAACAATACATGTTGTGTGAGAGAGAAAAAGAAATAAATGTCGAAAAGAGGATAAAATTAAAAAGAAAAACTCAGTTGAAAAGATTTATTGTAGATTCAATTTTAATATCGAAGACTCCACGTGAAAGAAATTAGCTACTACTATTTAATTGTGAATTTTAGATCCCATAATTTATGTCTTCCGTTCACTCATCAATGATGTGCCTAAATTTTACAATATGCTAGTATTATAAAAAAAAATTGTTATTTGTGGATTAAACTAAAATTAATGTTCTTTTTTTAAATACTTTTTGGAAAGGGATTAGGCGTGTAAAAATCTCAGTACAAAAAAATTAAAAGACGACAAAGATGTCATACTATATATGTAAGCAAACGTGCCTAAAGGTACACCGGTGCTTGTGGTTGTGGTGGACTTGTCATACCCCACATTTGGTAGAGTCCATAAATTGCCAAACATTTGTTGAGGGTTGAGGGTCAAATGTGAGGAATGAAGTTAGGGGCAGAGGTTAAAAGTCCTGGTGGCTGGGAAAGAGTGTTAGTAGCCGGGACTTGCGGAACCATAGAGGGCGGTAGCAATCCTTGTGGCTTATCAATGTTGGTAGGCACCAACACCAGTTGAGAAGAGGTGCCAAAAGGAGGCAATGAAGGTGGAACAATAGCCGTCGGCGCCAATTCTTGTGGCCGACCAGAGTCGGCTTCTTGTGAATGTTCTCCACTTTTCTGTCTCTTCGATGGAGCCGGGATAAACTTGTCACGCCATCTTGTAATGGTTTTTCTAGACGCTGCAAAAGAAAACATCAGAAAGTTGACCAAAAAAAACTGAAACTCGTTCACATAAATGTGCAAAAACTTACTCCTAAACAACTTCTGCATCTTTGTGTCTTTTGCTGCATGTGTGTTGTAATGAGGAATCTTTTGAATGGCGTCGTAAATCTTTAAAAAATCTCCGGGTAGAATGTCAAAGGTCCCATTTTTAGGTTCAGGCTGCCCTCTTAGATCGACCCTCTCGACCTCCACATGGTACATAAATCGGTTGTTATCTAAGAATTCTTTTACTAGAGTGTCACAATCTAACATCTTGACCCTCTCTTCATTTTCATTAAGTGCAAAGATATCGAACCCTATACTAGATACTGTCTACCCAAAAACTCCCTCAATATATTTTCTCAACTGGAGGATGGAGAAGTGTGACTCTTTCTAGTCAAAGACCTTGTTGGTCTTGGGGTTGACCAGGGTTGCAACAACCATGGGATAATAACCTGCCATAAAAGAAGTTAGAAGTTAGAAGTTCAGGGGAGGTATAGGTGATAAAATTAATAACAACGACTTACCAAATGGGGGAAGAACATTATCTCCCTCTTACTCTTTTCCTTTTGAGGTTAGCAAGGGACCAAAAATCAAATTCTGTTGGTTTCCTTTTGAGGCTAGCAAGGGTGAGGGTGCAACAAACAAAGCTTGCTCATTTCCTTGACTAGGTATCAAATTCTGTTGGTTTCCTTTTGAGGTTAGCAAGGGTGAGGGTGCAGCAATCAAAGCTTGCTCATTTTCTTGACCAGAAACGAAATTCTGTTGGTTTCCTTTTGAGGTTAGCAAGGGTGAGGGTGCAGCAATCAAAGCTTGCTCATTTTCTTGACCAGAAACGAAATTCTGTTGGTTTCCTTTTGAGGTTAGCAAGGGTACGGGTGCAGTAACCAAAGCTTGCTCATTTTCTTGAGCAGAAACTTGCATTTGCACTTGTGCGGCAAAATCAAATCCCATGCTGAATAAGGTTTCCAAGCCAATTTTCTGCAGTTCTTCTTTAATCTCCATGAACTCATTTATGGGAAAGAGTGAGTCTCTTGAAGTAGTGAGTAGTTCAAACAGAGCAACAGGCCGCCGCTCAAAGAACAAAGGAAAATATCTAGAAAGACTAACTCCCATGCTCTTGGCAAGTTCATAGTGCAAAAATTCCCCTCTGTATTGGAAATCCCTTAAGTTGCTAGGGATGTCCCGTGTCAAAGTCTGATCCCGGTATCGCTCGAGCTCATCACTACCCTTTTGAAATGCCATAGCGAATGGAGTATCCCTAACGGTGAGGGTGCTCCCTTCTTCGATCCAAATTTGCATTAAGAAACTTTTGGGGATGAGACCTTGTTGATTTGGACTTCTGTTTCTGGTATGGAACAATGCCGCGAACAAATATACAAGCGATTTACAGAATTTATTGGTCCATTCGTCCTTGCCTGGAAAAAAAAAAGAATAAAAGCAATCAAAAGTAAAGTACAGAGATAGCACCTTACCTGAAAAAACAAAAACAAAAAAAGCAATCAAAAGCACGGGAAAGATAAAAAGAGAAACGTGGCTAGACACGTGTCTAGTTAACGCTTTTGCTTAGAATAGGTGTCTTTTATTACAGTAAAAACATTCAATTTGGGCCTAAGTATGTCTAAGCCCAAAACATCATCAGCTGTAACTCTACAATCTCGAAATCTAACATAAAACACTAATCGTTTATGGATCCACCATCTAACATACAAACATCATCGGTTGTAACTCCTACAATCTAAAAATCCAACATAAAACATCAATCTACAATCTAAAAATCCAACATAAAACACCAATCATTTATAGATAGATTCACCATCTAACATAAGAGAGGTAAAAAAACACACATACACGTAGAGGTGGTTAAAATTTACTTTACGAGATTCAACTAAACTCAGTAATTAAGTACTCCACTATTACTTTCGAAAGTGCAACAGGTTTAATAGTAAAAACTCCAAAATATTTTAAGCCTTTAAGAGACGAATATTGCATAGAAGTTGGGGAAATTCAATTTGATCAAGGAAAAACAACTAAAGCCGATTGTCGTTCTAATAAGACAGAATAATTTTCTGAATCAACAACGCAATTTTTTAAATTTTGATAATGAAAACCACGACTTTTGGTAAGCTTTTCGAATATATTTTTTTTTATTCTTATAGTATTGAGAAAGACTGATTTATATCCATGAGTATAAGTTTCCAGAAAAGTCGTCGATTCTCTCTAGTCTCCTCCCCAAGCTCTGACCAAATTCCTAGTATTTACGAGGTGCGAAACTAATTGTGTAGTTTATGAAACTACACAATGGAAGCATTGGAGTTTATGAAACTAATTGTGTAGTTGTTTTGCCTTAATTTCATGTTTGAATAACTATTTATTTTAATAAGATTTTGACCAACTACTACAAAATCAGAGTAAAACAAAATAAGGAAGACAAAATCATGTTTCTGATAATTCGCACGATAGTCGAATGTGGATGAAAAAAACAGAAATATGTGAAGAAGATGATTGTGATCGATCATGGATCTACTACTTACTTGGAGGAAGTTCCGAAATTAGCTTCACTGTTGGGATGATCATTGTTGAGAAATAAAATTGGCGGCAAAAGAGTTATTCTTAGGGAAGTGAATAGTAATTTGAATTTGTAAATGAGTAGCTGCTTATATAGTATATATATGTATTGGAGTGTGTTTTGAATCTGCACAAGCTCCACTTACACGATGCATCATGTATAGATCAGGTTGGTGTTAATTATGTGTCACGATTGATCCACTAAATTCCACTTATGACCCAAGTGAATCCACCTTATGGTCTTCGCAAACCCATGTCCTTGGTGCTCCCTTCTTTAAAACATTATCTAGCGTTATAGTGGCCGTTTTCCTTAATTCGCAAATTTTGAAATGTTAGCTTCAATTAATTAACTCAATAGTGGTTGCAATTGAAAGGTTAGAAGGTGGCTATTAATCAAATACCCATTTCATTTGGCCAAGTTTTAAATAAGATGGGTTGCCAGCCTTCGACACTTAACTTCATGTCGTATTGGCCCTGAGTTTGTCCTGGGACAACTCCAATAAGGCTAATGTGTCGGATATTAAAGTTAGCCCAAATCTAAACCAACATTAGTAATATTAGTGTTATCGCTAATTAGAATAACTAAGCAATGTTAGTAGGGAAATCTACACAAAATGCTCATTTGGGCCAAACTAATTACCCACTCTAAACTTTTTATATAATACACCCATGAGATCCAAAATTTACCTTGACATTCCCTTTTCCCCATTAATTAATTACTCTCTGTGTTTTCTCTCCCATGTATTTTCCTATTTATCTTAACTTTTCGCTGACTTTCCCTTTTTCCCATTAGTTACTTTATGTTGGTTTGTGTTTTTTCGCTCCTATTATTTTTTCCTACATTGCATGTTATTCATCTCATCATCATATGTGCTTCTATTTAAAGTCTTAAAGAGCTTCTTTGTACTTTTTTTTCCTCCATTCATAGATCAAGAGCTCCCGATCCAAAACGTCTCGTTAATGAACTCCATCGATAAGTTAACTCTTCAACCACATACAGAGGCTAATCCGGAATTTAAATTTAATGGTTCAACTTTTAAGATTTTAGCGTTGAATTCATTGTGCTGTTAAGATTATGGGTTCAAATCTAATACTTGTTGAGATTTTCATAGAATTTTACATATAAATTCATATTTTGTATCGAAAGTTATTGGTTCAGTTGAACTCGTATCCCAAAGGCTACATCCGTCCCTGGCCACATATTGCGATTAACTAACTTTGAGAATTATTATTAATAGAGTATGATTTATTATATGATATACAAACTAATGGCAAAGAAAAACGAAATAAAATGAAATTTTTTTAAATTAAAAAAGAGCTAACAAAATGCAGGGTAAGGCTGTGTACAATAGACCCTTATGGTGCGGGCCTTCTCCGGACCCCGCGCATAGCGGAAGCTTAGTGAATCGGGCTGCCCTTTTTAAAAAAGAGCTAACAAAATTATATATTGTAATAATATACAATATTTTAACTGAAACTTGAATAAATACATTTAACCAATGATATACCGCTACTGTATCAAAATATACTATAAGATTGTACAGTTATACTACAACAGTATACTGTAATGGTATACATATATACCGAAATAATATACTATAATAATATTTAAATTAATTATTTTGATGTGTAGAATCAGGATATTATTTTTTTGGTTTCTACGGGTAATCCTGTGTATATTCCATATTAATAATCTAGTACCCTTGTAATATAATTAATCTTAGGGCCTCTCAGCGCATCGGGCTAGAAGAAATTTATTTTCGCAAGCCCATTGCAATGAAATATTTAAATGGGCTCACCTCCCAAAACAAATGTTAAGCCCATTCACAAAAAGCGGGCTAACTTAATCTTCTTCAAAGAAGATGTCCGTCTAGTCTTTCATAACAAAGTTAGCCAGATAATTAAGGGGTATTATCACTTTTAGCCCGCGCTAGAAATTATTAACATCTGGTAGTTAAAAATGTATATAAATTTTGTATATAACATACATAATGTATATATATACAAAAAATATACAAATTCTATATATTTTTTCGGCTATTATTTTTACAGTGGCTATACAATGTCATTTTTCCGAAAATTAACAACTTTATCCGGAAGAGCTTTAAACTCATCAAAGTTAATAAATTTGTCCTACCCGATGTCAGGATACTCGTTTCGAAACAAAGACATAAATAAAAAGCAAGGTCGTGGAGACACGTCTTGACCTAATTACTCAAATAACTTCCTTAAATCATGTTAGACTTAATTCTTTAGAGTCCAACGCACAAACTAAGGTCGGGAATACTTATCTTGGTGAGTGTAGGCTAGGGTCGGGAAAACCGGTCCTAGTTTGTGATTAATAATTTTCAACAATTGAAAGCGAACATAGGCAAAACATGCAAGCCCAATAAGACACAATTTATCCAAAATCTATTTAAGTCAAGTAGGAATTAATAAATCGGCGGTGCCCGAAATACATAATTCAGGGAGTGCCTCATACCTTCTCTCTAATCAAAAGAATTTCATACCTGGTCTTCTATGTTCGCGGACCATAAATGGAGTCAAAACTTTTCTTGATTAGCGATTTAATAAAAAGTGACTTGAAACACTGAACTAATACTATTCCAAGTAATGACTCCTAAATTAATATAATAATATTTTTTCCGAATAATGTCACTTTAATTGAAAAAATCCGTTTACCCCACATGGAAAAAAAAGGAAGTGTGGCATAACCAAAACAACCATACCAAAATATAAGAGACCATTTTTGCCAGTTTTCTCCCAAAAATTTGGACATCCTAGTAAAAGCAATAAACATGACCTAGGGGTGTCAATGGTTCGATTCGGTCAGTTGTTTTATAAAATTCGTACCATACTAATTTTTCGGTTATTCTATTATGTATAACCAAATTAGACTTTTCGAAACCGTCCAAATCATGTCGGTTTCTCTTCGATATCGATATGATTCGATTAATTTTCGGTATTTTTGTCAAGGTCTTGTAAAAGTCACTAGTAGAATGCAATAACATACGTACTTTTATAGGACTTAACAAAATTCTCTAGATATTTTTACTGTTTAAAGGGTGATGAATTAAGAAAATATGAAGGATAGCGAGAGTATAGATCCATTAACTATTCTATAGCAGCGTAAAAGAAACTAAGCAAAGATAAAGAAAATATAAATCACACAAGTGAAAAGATATTAACCAAGCTGGAATTCATGAATAAAGTCTATAGAAGATTAAATATTAAAAAGATAAATCCAAATCATACGATAAGGAAATATATTCAATACATTGTAGATTGCTATTCATAATCGCTATAATACTATATCTTGCTTGTGAATATGCTAGAAATAATTTAGTGACAGTAGAGGAAGCATAATAGGTTTGAGAATTATGATTTTGAGTTTAATTACTTGTAACCATTCTCATAATTCCAAGGCCCAAGAAAATAATTAATGCATTATTATTTTTAAACTTATATATATATTTTTATTAACAAGTAAGGCAATAATGATTAACAAGTATGACAGTAAAATATTTTTATATATAGCAGGTTCCAATAAATTCAGATATGATAATAATAAATTTCGAGCGACAATCAAGCTACTACTAAATATACTCCTAATACTTTTTAATATTTTTTCCTATATCTTCTCTTGAAACCAATCCATTACCTAAAACATTTAAATGGTTAGAAACTAATTCATTCCACAACGTAATATATTTTCCTATTTTTATGTTGAGAACTTGCCATAACAAATTTTCTACTTTCAATACATTGAATATTTTTACCAGTAAAAAAAATACATGGGCTATTTATATAGCATAACTCTAGTGAAATTATACATCGTATATTCTGAAAG